GGAAACCAACCGTCCGCGGGGAGAGTAGACGAATGGAAATGGAAAGCAAATGGCTTCGAAGTCCAAAGTTTCGTGAAGGCCGCGTGTAATTGCATAGCTGTATCACAAATACGGCAGGAAAGAGCGGAGCGAATTTCTGCTAGAACACTGGCNTCAAACAACCATAATGGACAGCAACTTAGAGCCAATGGTGAAGAAATTGAGTTGGTGTCGTCTTTCGTATATTTGGGCCAACTTGTATGTTTTCCCCAAGATCGTGGACAAGAAGTCAGTCGAAGGATCAGCGCTGCGTGGGGAATTAGCACAAAAGTCCGAGCTCTATTGAGAAGCCGAATGACACCAATTAAGACCAAACGACGCTTCTTTCACACCTGCGTGTTACCCACACTACTGTATGGTTGTGAAACGTGGGCCTTAACCAAGGCAGCGGAAGATCGCATTAGAAAATGTCAACGACGAATGGAGCGCCAAATGCTGGGTCTCCGTCTTCGTGACAGGGTATCAAATGCAGTACTGCGAGCAAGGACTAAACTGAAGGACGCTGCCGTCGAAGCCAGAAAGCGCAAGTGGATCTATGCGAATAAATTAATGACAAGAGAACAGACAAGGTGGGAAGTAAGGCTGATGAAATGGAAGCCTTATGGTATCAGACCAGTGGGAAGACCACGTATGCGATGAGAAGATGATTTCAAGATGTTCGCGGGAACAGAATGGAAGAACATTGCAGCAACTTCTGAATGGTTCGAGATCATGGCCCGTTTCTCTGTTTATATCAGATGAATAACGGAAATAAATGTAATGTGCTAGCACTATGACCTGCATATTGTTAGTCTTCCTGAAGCGTCTTCGGAGCCATCATGCTTTCAGAAGCAGTTGCCAATCATAGAGCGGTGAGAATGAAGTACGCTAAATACTCAAGATTGGAAACACTTGGTTCCGTGATTTTGAAAATCGCCTTTTTGACAATATGGCTTAAAGGAGATTGGCAATGTTCAGGAAAAATCTTTTTTGCTCTAAACATGAAATGAAATGGGTTGATGGATTGGCTTGAACAACCTTGAGGGTCTGCTATGTCTCTTACAGAACAGTCCATTGGAGAACCAGCAAAGTTCCCAGCCGACGCTCATACGTCCTGGGCAGAATTCAGAACAATTGAAATGGATTTTATCAGAAACTTTGCTTTTCTTGAACAGGTCTCACATACCGAGAGGTAGATAGAATTCAAATGCAAGGACATCCTACACCATACAGGTGTTCCATCACCATTACTATGTATCTACTAGCAAAAACTAAGCGTTCCGGGATAGCTCCTGATAAGTTGATTGTATTTGGCAATAAGCCATAGTGGTGGTATAGAGTTAAAAATTTTGAAGGGATCTACCTTACCCATAGCTGAATTTGACGAATCTTCAGCAAACTCTGATGTTTAAGCCCATCCGGATATGAAGTTTTCAGAGCAAAAGCGCAAGTGACCATGATGCACAGAAGGGCAAACCTCTATAGTGAACTTTTGTCGATGAATACACCGGGAGATAACATTCAAATGACAAAAGGAGACTTTGATACCGGATAACGCCACGAATTAGCAGCCTCGAGGACAACATCACTGTCATGTCAGTAGAGCACCGCCGAACTTTTCCCATGCTTTTTCCATTTTATGAAGTTGTACAGGCCCTTATTTTTCAGGGGTTTGAGGAGAGACACTCTTCCACTGGAGGTACTGGGTGTCCTGTACTGGGGCACAATAGATACTAGTTAGACGGTCCTTCCCATGATAAGCTCACGAAAATAAATCTGCATTGTAGTGCCTATACTTACACTTTATTCAAACTTAATCTTTATCACACTCAATCAATGCAATCTATTCATTATTCCCACTATCTGCTCTTGGATGTTCTGTATATGTATCGCCTGCGTCCCAGCTTCTGATAAAAGTCTTAAGGGAAAAATCCTTGAGAGAATCGATACCGTCTAAGGGAAGCGTCCACCACTTCCAGTTAGAATTGTAGGGGCGTATTGAATGATCTATACAATGATTTGTGGTATCCAGCCGATGTTCAAGTCGGTGTTTTCATCTTCGAAGTTCAATCTGACACCAACTATCGACTGCGAAGGGATGGAAGGCTTCGTTGGCCTGGGTGGATCTCGATCCGGAATTCGAACCCGTGACCATGCTGATAGCTTTGAAGATCTACCCAGATCCATCTCTCTTGTTATCTTCGAATGACGAGTTAAGGCTCTAATTACTAGACCAGTTTCTTCTTCAATCGAGTTGATAATCAAAAAGTATTTCAGACGCCATCTTGATCAGTTTCCAGCATTTCGGTGGATGTTACCTGTAGCACGAGGTTTTAGTAGGTGGCGGGGCGTTTGGGAACTTTGAGCGCCTTTAGGAGTCTGACATTAGTAGGTTCGAATAGATTGAGCTTTTGTAAGAGCTTTACGAAAAGTAAATGGAAGGCATCGTTCCCAGTTCTAACATTTTTGCCGAAGTCCTTCATTAGTAGCTTCCTACTGCGTACTTTCCTGATTGCCTACAAGCGGATGCCAAAATTTTTTTTTGTTTTTGATTGATAATATTTATAATAAAGTAAGGGATCATGGAGCGTGCAACTTCAGTACACATAATCTTGAACGCATACTTCGGAGCCACTTATCGATGCTATCGCGGAGCTTCTCTCTTATCGGGAGGGCGTTGTTCGCGGAGACGTGGCACTTCAGTGACGATATACTGTTGAAAATAGATAAATTGCATGAGCCTGACGTGGTTCCTGAAAGAATTATTTTAGGACATAAAAAACGAGGAAAACCAAATCTGACTCACATCATACACGCATTCCCTTGCTTATCAGCGAAGACATCTTTGGCATGGTTTGCTTACAAAAAAGGCTGTTCCCAGGAAGAATTCAGAGATGGAAATGAAGCTTGGATTAGCTTGAGTAGGTAGAAAATTCAGCCAGAGAGTTGAGTTCCCAATCAAAGCTCGCTCGCCTTCGCCCCTTTCAAAATGCATGGGGAAGGGGATCATAGAAGGAGCCTTCACCCTCCGACCTTTCAGCTCGAACTTCAGTCGAGCTCAATAGAAAGGGAGTACAGGTCTCAGAAGGTGCGATGTATGACAGTCACATGGTTCGTTCTCCTCGCAACAAGTCAGCACTCCATCTGAGGAGAGGGGCACCTTGATCGCGTTCCTTTTAATCTCTACTTCATACTAACTGTTGAAGCGCCCTCTAACGCTGCTCCTCAGAATACGATTCAAGCCCAGAAACTGAAACAAACTTTTCAGGAAGTGAACTGAACATTCCTGCACCACTGCAGATTGTCTCCGGTAATGAATACTATCAAGGATACAAAAGTGCCGTCGACCTTTTCAAGTAGGTAGTTCATCAATTCAAATCTTCCGTTGCTACTAACTTACACTCGTCTTCAGATCATCGCTTGACCTAACTGTTAATCCCTGCGATGATTTCTACCAGTACACATGTGGCCATGCTGGATCAGCAATGAGTTTCGACATCTCGGACGCTGAGAATACGGATAATATGGTGAAACAACTGACGAACCTCACTTACGTAAACTCCTCGGTTCGTTCATCTCAACACATTGCCTTCCTCCAAGATCTCCTTGGCCGCCTAGAAGCACTGTATTCTGCCTTTCTTGAGGATCGAACAGAGTTCTGTTCTACATATAACAAGTCGAGTGGTGAAATGATGTGTAGCGGTCTTGGCTCACTCGTAGATATTGCGTAATTTTGATCCTTAATGCTTAAGGGGACCATGGCTAAGACTCTGAACGTCCCAAGAGCATACGCGGCTTTTGCAATCACTATTTAGCCCTCTCCGGTGAAGCAAGTGGCATACTACTTCAAGCAGTGTGTCGCAGCCAGAATGGATTGGACAAACATAGTGAAAAGCGGAAAGATGGTGAAAGACGCCATTGATCAGATGGCTGCAGGTGAGACATTCTCAATTGAGGGTTCATCCCGTCATCTTCGTAGGTACTTCGTTCATTACCGGGTGATTTTCTACACTCGCAGCACTGAACAAAATACCGTCTGTGCAGAAGGTCAAGAAGGCCTACGAATTACGATTATTTCAGGAGAAAGTGACTTCGCGAATCAGACACAATTTCCATTTTACATGTTCTACCAGAAGGAGACTGTGAAACCGTTCCCTGACAGAATTGGATTGGGATATTTGCTAGGTAAAGTGCTGTTCCTAGGAAGATTTGCTGTGATTTCCTCAGCATGTAGTCAGTATTACTGCTGCATGGCAAGTAGCACAAAGTCTTTTATAGGTTACCCAGCCGGTGCACAAGGATCACCAAATCTGGTTACACCCTTTGTGGATACAAACTGGAAAGATCCCCATGGGACGAATGGTTATGCGTACTACATTGATCAACCTACGACGTTGCTACCATACACATATCATGTCAAGGCGTGGGACCAATATCAGAACGCGTACGTTTTTCTCATTTGTTTCGGTGTCTCAAGCTAAATAAGTGACACAAGAAGCTAACTAATGAGAAGCCATTGACGCTGAGAATTGTTTTAATCATTTTTCAAAAGGAAGTGGGGTGAAATAAATGAAGGGCAGGAGCCGGTACTCTGCATAGAGACAACGAATTTGTCACTGGAGCTTGGAGTTATCTACCGCAGATTCTGTGGGAGAAAACTCATAGCTGTTGGCCTCACTTCAGTTACCCTGTTAAGATGTTGTTATGAATCGGCTAGAGGAATAAAAGTGGGCCAGCTTCAGAATAGTAAAAATGGTTAGGGACCTCGGTCGACCACATCAATACTAAGTGATGTGAGAGTATTGGAATGTTCGGAGCCACTGATTATGCACCTTTTCTTCATTCATTTTTCGGGGAAACCGGGACAGATAGTTTTCGGGCGAAGATATCGGGGAGCTGTCGGAAAGTTCTGTCTAAGGTAGCGGGGAGGGATGGAGTTCAGAAGTTAAGTCCCGATTCTGATCCGTTGAACCAGATTCTGCCCTATCAAGCCATAAGCTGCATCTTTTCATGAATATTAAGAAATAGCGTATAATATATAATTGTGTAATGTAACGAAAAATGTCAAAATCTAACGTCAGATTTTGTAATGCTCACACTTAAAAAGAGGCTTCGAGGGACGAGCCACCCTATCGTCCAGCCACGATCCAACCTTAAAGGAAGAGACAGGAGTAGGAAAAAAGGGAGTGGAAGCGTGGTGTCAGCGCCCGTATTTCCAACACATGACAGCTCACTGAACAGGAGAAATCCAGGTTATTAGAAAAAGGCTGCTCGATATTCCTCTGAAGTTAAGTGTTCAGCGTTTCCTTAGTCGCTAGGATTTAAATGCACAGCTCACGATATCTTCGAGGTACCTTTTTTAGGCTGAAGAAGGGAAGTGTCGTCGTAGAGTACATCGGTGGCGAATAAAGCGAAAAAAATCCGTCTACTTCAAGGCTTTTCAAAAGTAGTGGAAAAGGAGGTTGTACGAGATCACGGGAATGGCATTTAAGGGGTGTTTGGATGAGATTTAACTTGCTCCTATTTGCGCAAAGAGAGGGCTGCATCGAGCCGAAATCGTCCGAACTGCCTTTCACTGTCGCCGTGGGTTATGACAAGTTGTTCGAACTTCCTACATGGGAGTCTCTTGAGATAGCGCAGCCTCTACAAAGCCATTGAAACTCGTTCACGATGGGTGTGGCATTCACACGATACAGTCTATGGCCCATTGTTGTACCCTATCTAGGTCGTATCACGACCTTATCTCTGTATGTATGGTATAAGGGGAAGCCACGAATTCATACCGTAGGAGAGTCTCGGATACCATTTTTATCATGGAATGTGCCTCCAATTGAAGTACTAGAAGCCCTCTACTCAGTTATATATTGAATTGATTTTCAAACGAAATAATTTTTATGCTGATGAATTTATTTTTGTATTTAGGCTATTAAACAGCGTAATCGGGAATATGAACGCGTACGCCAAGTCACAAGGGGTCACGCTGGATCAGAAAACCCTTGCCGCTGATGCTGCCAGTATCGTCAACTTGGACCACCTACTCGCGCTAACTTATAGGTTCGTTCGCACATCGGCTTTTTCACGGCAGAAAAAAGTAGAAAAAAAGACAAGGAAATTTTTCAGTACCGACGACACGACGCGCAGACAGTTCGATCGCAGCTATAACCCAATGACCATCGCCCAGCTTAGCCAGACCTATCCAAAAATAAGTTGGCATGTTTTTGTACCAGAAGTGCGTCTGTTCTTACTATTTTGCAGTCTTCACCTGAATTCATGAACCGCTATCTTTCAGGCCGTCGGGGCCGCTCAGCACGTTATGCAACGAGTTCTCGGCGATCCTACATACAAATACATTGTGATGGAACCAGCCAAATTGCAAGCGCTTCATGATATGCTTGGTAATGAGACAAGTAAGCCATTTTTTCCGAATGATAGACTATGGAAAGGCATGAGGTTTAGATTCAAAATCACATTTTCAGTTGTTTCTGCTCGTACTATTGTCAATTATGCGTACTATCACATGGTAGATGCCCTAGCTGATTTCCTACCTTCGGTAACGGTATGTGTCTACTTTTATCTCAAGATCGGGTAGGGCGGAGAAGTCCCCATCCATATCAGACGGTTATTCCTAGAAACAAAAACTGTAGTCTCCCTTTCACCCCTGACAGTTTGAACGAATTCACCATAGATTGCCATATATAATAGTTAATAGTTGCAGTTGTTCCGTTTTTGCCGCTATTTGGGGTTGGGAAAATGATTGTCTAGCCTTTTCCTCACCTATACTACAATCTATAAGATAGGATTGGACTGCGCAACTCCTGATGCGCCGAGCATAAACGTGGTTTTACGAAGTATGAACGATTAAAAAAAATTAGTCTATCCTCAGCGCGGAGAAAGTGGCTTGTAAGGATTAGCGTATGTATAAGCGGGTGGGGAGAGGGAAGAGGGAGACGTCGTCAAAAGTTCCCAGTACCATATAGGACTCTTTCCTTACAAGGCCGACTCCGGCCACTGAAACCCGTTGGAAACTGTCTCAAGCAATTCGTCTTAGAGTACCTTTCAAGCGGTTCTGTGTACCCTCCCCTTTCCCCTTTTGATGCCTTCATGCAGGAAACAGTAAATTAGAGGATTAGTATCGATTTGAAAGATCGACTGGATAACATAACATAATTCCTTTTCTAGTATTCTACGGAAACATTCAGATCATTCTAAAAAAGTCAGAACTACTGTGCCCTTCTCCAATATGCTTTCTGTAAACCCTGTCAGAAACTGTTGATCAGGCAGAGGATTTTCATACCTATAGGGGGTCTTGTGTAGCAGCGCATGAATCCACATCAAATGATCTGCAAATCCTCCTACTAGTCAAAAGTTGATGGCTCAACCTTTTCCCACTGCTAAAGCATTCGAGGGTCTCAGGACAAAAGAATATGTGAGATATACAGCATCTCAGAGCAAATGCTGTTCCCGTTCGACTGCCTCAGTGACTCTGAAGATTTAATGAACAGGGGCGGCGGTTTTTCGCACTAAATCAACGAATATAAAATTTTGGTGACGTGCTTAAACTTAGTTTTGGCCTCAAAGATGAGCAAGTGAGAAAGTGAAACTTGATTTGTGGGTCTCTTCTTGAGAGTCGAGAGAGTGATCCCAAATAAAAGTCTGTGATTGTGATAAAGAAAGACAGCGAAGGTTTCAGGGAGAGTCTGGTAGCATGCGCCGTTTACGCATCCAACGACCACCTATTGGGAAACGACGCCGGATCCGATCAGGTAACATCTCTCAGAAACCTTCAGGAGTTTTTGTTCTGAAGCAAAATTTCGATCCTGACTGTAAACATTGGGAGGTACTCATAGATACTGTAAGAAACGGTTTAGAAGAAAGCCGGTTCGAGAGGAAACACTATAGCGACACCAGTATGGCTCAGAGCAGTTGCGCTATGGAAACGGTCTTCTCGTTGCCGGTATACATTCTTTCTATTTTCATCTCAACGAATCCCATACTCATAGCAATTTCGAGGGCCAATTATCATTTTCGACAGTAATCGACTAGTTATACGGGACATCTCCGATATATGCATTTGTGACACCAAAAGTTAACCTGAGGGCTGTCGGGTTAAAAAACGGTCAAGATAGGGCGTAGTATGGGCCTCAACACCGGCTCGGCCGACGAAGGTGGACGAGTTTTGTTGCCGTTGTAGAAATAGTAGAGATTGCACCATTCACGCTAGGACGCACACGCAGACAGCCTACTGTGGCTAGCTGTACACAATAGACACATAAGGGACTGTTCGCCCAAATATCTCTTCCATACAACTTTTTTCGTCACATTCTCGTCCAACCCCTAATTATTCTACTTTTTTGAAACTTTTCTGTTCGAGTCTCGCCGTTTCTCGCCTCATCTTCGCCTCTTTTAACTATGAATTATAATATTTGTCAAGAACTCCTTACCTCAAAATTATCGTGAACTGTGCCTTCAATCACTGTGAAGTGTGCTCGAGTACTCACGACTCATTTTTCTTGTGATAATGGGAAGTCTGATGAATTGGTAACCATATCGATGACAATTAAGATCGACTGTACCGTAATCGACTGTTTCCTTTCCTGGTCAAATAAAAGATTCCGAGCCTTCGGACTCCGACACAAAAAAAAGGCTAAAGTGTGGCGATGCAACTGGTTTCTTTAAAGGCACAGTTCACGATAATTTTAGGTAATCCAGATTATGATGAAAAATGGAAGACAAGATTGAAACTAGTGCGACTGAGGTGGAGAAACTGCGTGCATCGGTGTTTCCAAAGTGAAAAAAGGCTTCGAAAAACCATTAGAAATGGGGCTAGATGAGAATGAAACCAGAAAAATGAAGAAGAGTGGGGCGTCCGGATGAGCTAAACAGTGTGTTTCACTGCGCGTGTGTGGGTCCTGGTGCGAAGAACAGACAATGGTAAGCAAAAATTCATTCACTTATAAGCATAAATAAACAAAAAACCCTAGTAATAGCAAAAGTAGCTCACCTTTTTCAGGCTCTAGGAGTAGGAAATTAAATAAGGGATCGCGGCAGCGAAAAGAAAAACAGAGGAAAGAAGAATGGGAGAAAAACATCGCCTCATCACTCGGCGATTAGCTGATTGTGCAAGGGTCCTAGAACGAATAATAGCAATCTGTATTGTCTCGTCTGACGTGTCGCCAACCAAGAGGTGGGAGAGCGAACTACGGGAGCAACGGGGCTTCCACTATGCCTTAAGTGCCGAGATTGTGGGAGCGAGAGGGTCCCTTCTACCCCCATGGGGGACGCTGATTATTCCTGAAGCAAGAACTCAGTAACCTTTTTTATTGTGAACCGTGCCTTTAAGATTGAGAAAATACTCGGAAAATCTGTTTGGAGGATGTTTGCCAGTTGAAAGGAAGGCTTTTAAGAATGCTCGTTAGAATGACTGCAGTATTCATTTAGTACGCCAATGCACGTGTATTCATTGACAAAATCTATCCAACAAGCGAATCTCGGATTCAAATGCGTCAGAATGTCGCCAAAGTCGCTTCTAGTATACTTATAGGTAACTTTTTCTAGAAGTTATCATTTGAAAGACCGAAACATTGGTGATGTCTGAAGCTCAAATGGAATTATTCAGGATTCCGTTCTATGCTCGATCAGCTGGACTGGATGACAGCAGCCACAAAGAAGGGTGCTTACAACAAGATCGACAACTTGGTCAAGAATATCGGCTATCCTGACTGGATAACTAACGATACACAGTTCACGACGTACCACAATGTAGGCTAGTTAAAATTCGTGTTGAACATTCCAATAATTTGGTGGTGGTGGGTTAGAAAAAGGGAGAGGAATTACGCTCTGGCGTAGTGTATGTTTGACTGCTTCTACGCCAAAACCATCTAGTTCGACGGAGTAATTGTTTGGATTCTTTGACGCATTAATGTTGAGTAACTGGCTCTAAAGACCTTCTTTTAGAACCTCAACATTAATGTGAACAAGGACGACTACCTCACGATGGTGTCGAAGGCCTCAGCATTCTCTTTGTACACAACCTGGGACTCTCTCGTCGCCGGAGCGGCCAATCGCATAGATTTCAACGGGCCACCAGGGACAACGAACGCATGGTATCAGGTAAGAAGCCTTAGAACGATACTGTCGTAAGCAGATTCCCAGATTCACCTCAAACACAATTAATCTTTGAAAAATGTTTGAAGGGTGAAGGAAGAACTTGTCATTTAAAAGTCTAATTGAGTTCTGAAGGTAGTGAAACCAAAATTCTTTTCAGCCTGAACTAAATTCGATCACTTTCCCTGCTGCCATACTCCATCGACCGTTCTATGACCCGACGTGGCCAACTGCGGTAAACTTTGGAGGACTCGGAGTAGTCGCTGGTTAGTCATCCTGTTTCAGTAGTCGTGTGAGGTCGCATGAAGTTTGAAGAGCGTACATGGAAAAATGGAGACTCCCAGCAGTTCTAACCGTAGTCTGGGAAGATATTCGAAATAGGAATGTTTATCAGAGATTCACCATGCCTTCTCAAACTACGGGCTACTGCAGATACCAGACTTGGATCTCGCTCTTACTACACATCGCTCAAGTCTTACAGCTTTGGCCTGAGTTCATGTGGTTCATACATCCCCTAGCATATTTTGTGAAAACCAATGCATCTGAACATCGCTTCATCGAGCTTTACTTTTTACTACGGACACCCTAATCACCCTTCATTTGATATCTCAGTTATCCAGTTTGCTGTCTTTTACCTGATATTAATATTAATGCTCATATTTTCTACCTCAACAAATCATGTGGTCCATTTATCGGGAAAGGAGTTTTTCACCCCCATGTTACGTGTAGAGCCATATCAAACCCTCTGTCCATCTTTGTTGCTGACTTCTGTCTTGGGTTTATTAATCTGTCTCTGTTTTATGAATCATCGAAATAACCAAGAAAGGGGGTTCCATAAAAGGACATAATCCAATGAAGTCAGGGATCATTGAGAGGGGGGGGGGGGGGGGGAAGAGTGATAGGGATAACTGGGGATCGTCCAATAGGATGTCGAAATTATCAAAAATCGGCTTTGAAGAAGCAGCTCTGCTTCATCCTTTCCTTTTGATCCTATTTGCTGTAGTGGTTGTGAGGTTCGTGCAAAAGCTGGCCTATCTTTGAAAAAAGATTTTTCCAGGTCACGAACTTACACATGGGTTCGACGATCAGGGAGTGCAGTGGGATGGTACTGGAATTCTCAGCGGGTTGGAGTTTGGAGTACCATTGCAATCTTAATCAATAATTTTCATTTCACTGTCGCATTTTTATTCAGGTGGATGGACGATACATCGAAAACTGCTTTTGGGAAGATGGCTGACTGTGTGGTAAACGAATACAACGGATTCTGTCCATTGAATAAAACTACATACGGAACAGCGGCATGTTTGGATGGAGCTCAAACTCAGGGAGAGAATATCGCCGACAACGGAGGTGTCTTTTTCGAGATCGAAACTGAGTAATTCATATTCGCTCAAAGTCGTGCCTCGTCAGGAATCCATGCGGCATATCGTGCATATCGCAACTTCATCAACCTCTATGGTCCCGATCCTCAACTTCCAGACGACCTGCTTCAAGAGTTCACCGCAGATCAGCTGTTCTTCTTGGCCTTTTCACAGGTTGGCTCTTCCATCATGACAGTTTTTCTAATTGAAAGGCTTTTCAAAATTAAGCTGGTGGGCGGGGGACGCATCTTATTGTTAGTTGATAGTGATGAGTTCCTGGACCCCAAAGGAAGGTCAGCACCGATATGAGTCAGTTGAGTCATATGTGTCAGTGCATTTGAAGTACATAGGGCACCGATGACATGGGAGTAAAGGGCGGTGCACGAAAAAGCTACATAGAATCTAGGAGGTGCATTACTCGGGGTGTTCTTCATTTCCACAAAGGTTTAGTCTAGGAAGCTTGCATAGGGAACGTGCGCGAGTTTCTCATTTACAGTCTCATTCACTTCTAGTTTTCAACTCCAGCTTCTGGTCAATTTCGTCCAACTAGGTTCACTGTTTTGCGCTAAAACAAACTTATCTCCATTTCCGTCCTCATTCAAACATTAGTATTTGCATTCTCATGGATATTGGAAGCTGTCGTACCGAACAGCTTTCTTTCTTAGAACAATTACTTCGCCTGACGTTATGACAAGTATGTTTCGTTGAAAGAACGTTCCGAAGCTTTTGGAATGTCACCTATCATGCTCGACGAAGAACGACCATTAACTACTTGCGTTCCAACAAATTTGGAATAGAGTTAAAAACTGAACAACGAGCAACTCCGGTCAACTTCATCGCCGCTCAGCTTTTGCTCATCTTCAGGGACAGTGTGGGAGGGGGAACAGTCTGGATACATCCCCACTAATGATTCGCGAAGTCACCTTCGATTGTCATTATCAGAGCTCACACAATGGTATGTAAGAGAAGAGACAATCTGTTGATGCTCTCACCCTTGTTATTCTTATATTTATGAGCTTCGGTGCATTATCCAGAGAGCCTGGTATTTTCTGGCACCAGCATAATTCTCGTAGGCCAATGTGCATTTAATGTCAAAGTCACAAAACATCTTCGGCACAGAAACATTGGATGCGTCTTCGTGAATTACTCCAAATTCGAAAAATGTTGCTATCATTTTACTAGTTGACGAAGATACTATGAAAGCGTTCAAGGTGAGGATTCAATTCGCTGCTGTAACTGTTGATTATGTTCTGTCGCGCGGAAGTGGCACTCGGGACTCATTCCGAGCTCTGTGAACATTAGGAGTAAACGATCCCAGCTTAAGAAGTTAGTTCGAATAGGGGCTCTGAACGTGAAATCGCTCGCTGGGGTCTCCCGAGTGGTTGCTGGTCTAATAGAGCGCAGAAACATCTAAGTCTTCAGTCTCCAAGAGATGTGACGGGAGGAGCAAAAGTCAGGGAAATCGGAGAAAATGTCTATCTCTACTACAACGAAGAAGACACCTAGCGACATTGTATCTTCTAGCAAAAGGACACGCGTTGTTTGTTCCAACTACCAGGGAAACAGGTTGACTCTCAACACGATGAAACAGTGCGAGGGGCTCTGGATTGAAGATTTTGTCTCCATTTCACAGTAGCAGCCAGGTTTTTGCCAGCGAGGTGTACAAAGGGTGTCATCTTCATAACTAGACAAGTAATGGGGAAGTATGTACCGAGCAAAGCGCTGACCCTGAAAGGTAGCCTTTCTCGATCTGGTAGAGGCTTTCGATCACATCCGGGAGCAAGTCCTCTAGATAACACTCCGAGAAGGAAAGTTGTCCAGACACTCGGTCTACTTAGTCACAAAAAGTACTATTCGTTAGAAGATGGTCATTCCATCCCATATCGCTAAGTCATGATCACTCTGACTCGCTTCTCTTCCTGTCACACTGAATGTCATCATGAAAAGATCTGTGGATGGACAATATACCTAATGCATTGCTCCGATAGAAGTAAGGCGGGAAAAAATTCCGGACAAAAGGCTTAAATGACGGAAACTGCTAGCGTAAAATGAGCTTTGGCTGAACGTAACCAAGTTTCACAGCTCAAAGAAGTGCACGGAGGCAAGCGTAGACGGTCTTGGGGAAACTATCGGAAGAGTTCACGACTTTCGATACAACGGAAGTGTCTTACTGCTAATGATAGCGTAGTAAGGTTGTAAAAGCGTGAAGAAATACGGCGTGGATGAGATTGAGGAAGTCCATGTATCCTCTGAGACTACCTCGGGACGCTCAAAATGAAAGTGAAAGACTAGACAGACGAAATTAAACTGTATCGGAGAGAGGGTGAGGCCCAAGATGCTCTGCATCGGAGAATGCTTGTTTGTATGAAAAAGCCATGAAATCGGATGAAATGCTTATGTGGGCCTGTGGTTGGAAGCGACTCGGCCGGGTCAGAAATTGTCAGGCAACAGTTCCTGTTCAACCGAATATGGGAGGAAAGCTCCTTGGAGTAGAGGCTCATACAGCGAAGAAAGGCTGGTTTCAAACTTCGCCGGCGAGACGGCGTGCCAGCCGAGGTAATGCTAGGAGGGGGGAGGCAGGCAGACGGTCGGTCGAATAAGGGGCTTATGCAGATGGTTTTTGATCTTGTTGCTCTTTGTTTTCAGCCACGCCGGCACGCCGGCTGACTATGAAAGCAGCCAAACGAGATCATCCGGTGTTGGGATAGGAGTTAGTGGAATCGATACTAAAGAGGAGTGATCACGATGAATCTCAAAAAAGAGTTGGTGGGACCTGATCATGTAGCCGCAGATAGAAGTACGTGGAGGTGGCTGACAAGAGCTGTGAATCTTGGTACTGCGCGGAATTCACGATAGGAAGAAAAGGAAGAAGATGATGAAGATTTCTGTGCGATTGATTCTGTTGCTCCAATTTTTTGCCAATCCGTGTTCTCATTCTGCAAAACCTATTTTTTGCTTTGGTCTTTCTTGGAACCTGTGTTCCTTTTTATTTGCTTTTTTCAATGCAGACTTAAGTACTCCTTGCAAGCAACCGAACTCACATGTGAGTTACGGAAAAGGAAGAGTAAAAGGACCACGTGCGTCAGCAACCAAAAGCGGATCTCATTCTTAGCATCCCCAATATCTTCTTATAAGAAACTTCTCGAAATGTTCCAGTTAGATTGATGTATCGGTTCTCAAAACCAACTTATTGATGTGACACGAAGTAATTTATGACATAGATACCAGAACTTAATTTTAATTTGGCGATTGGCCAACATTGTAGTGCCTTATCCACAAAGTACTCATCACAGAAGACTTGTTTCTTTGTATTCGAATGACTATGTTATGTCCTCTTACTGATTCCAGGTATGGTGCCAAACACCACCTCCAGCCAGCGTAATGGAACGTCAGATCCTTGTGGATCCGCACTCGCCATCACAGTACAGGGTTTGGGGAACGATTCAGGTATAATTCTAGCCCTTGGATGGGACGTTTTTTTGACAACTTACTGCTATTCATGTAGAACTTCCCTGCCTTCAAAGATGCCTTCCATTGCCAATCAACGGCTTATGCTCCCGACAAGCACTGCGACGTGTGGGTATCCGATATCGATTCCTGTAAGTTGAAAGAGGGACTAAAAGAATATTTGATAGACCCAATACATTTTAGCGTATGGTGAACCTGTTGTCAAAAGTGAGCTGAACGTCAGGACAAACAATCAGATAACGACCAGTGACATTGACAAGTATAACGC